CTCTACAATAAATCAAAAAATCAGCCGGGCGTGGTAGCGCCTGCCTGTAATTCCGGCTATGTGGAAGGCTGAGGCGGAAGGATCGCCGGAGCCCCACAGGTCGAGGCTGCGGTGGCCGGGAGTGGCCACTGCCCTCCAGCCTGAGCGACTGAGTGAGAGACTCCAACTCAAAAACAAACAAACAAACAAACAAAAAAAACAGACTACCAGCAGGATCTCGGAGGTCCTGGTGCCCCTGTCAGTCAGCATCTTCCAGCCACCCAGTGGAACCCACTGTTCTGACTTCTGCTACCATAGATTAGTTCTGCCTGGCTTTGACTTTATATAAATGGAAAGAGTGCCCAGACAAGGCGACTCACGCCTATAACCTCAGCACTTTGGGAGGCAGAGGGGAGAGAATTGCCTGAGTGCTGGTGTCTGGGACCAGCCTCGTCTCTACAGTAAATTAAAAAATTAGCTGGGCATGGTGGCACACGCCTATAGTTCCAGCTACTTGGGAGGCTGAGGTGGAAGGATCACCTCAGTCCAGCAGGTTGAAGCTGTGGTGACCGTGAATGTGCCACTGCACTCCAGCCTGGACAACAATGAGACTCCAACTCAAAACAAAAAAAAATAATGAAGAAAAATATGTAATTACATGAAGAGATGATTCTGATATTGCCATAAAACAGTATATGAAACATGGTTTCATTTTAGCAAGTGCATACTTTTCCATATTTAGGGACATTTCCATAAGATGGATTTTTAGATATAAAATTTAAAAATTATTCAAAAATGTCTTTCACAACTACCTTATCTCCCAAAACTAGATGGTAAGCTTGGGGCTGCCAGAACTCCGTCCTTGCTTCTGGCCATCATTGTTTTTGCTGGGAACACAGGAGGCAGCTGCCAGTTGTAACTGAACTAAAGAAGATGTCAAGAATTGGTTGAGGGGTAGGCTCAGTGAGATGGAGTGAGACTCTGACTCAAAAAAAACCAGAAAAATTAGCTAGGCATGATGGCACATGCCTGTAGTCCCAGATACTGGGGAGGCTGAGGTGGGAGGATCACTTGCATCTAGGCGCTTGAGGCTGCAGTGAGCCGTGATGGTGCCACTGCACTCCAGCTTGGGCAACAAATTGAGACCCTGACTAAAAAAGAAAAATTATTAAAAATATGATAGATGGCCGGGCACGGTAGCTCAAGCCTGTAATCCCAGCGCTTAGGGAGGCTGAGGTGAGAGGATTGCCTGAGTCTGCGGGTTCAAGACCAGCAACATGGTAAGACCTCATCTCTACAATAAATCAAAAAATTAGCTGGGCATGGTAGCACGTGCCTGTAGTTCCGGCTACTTGGAAGCCAAGGTAGAAGAATTGTCGGAGCCCAGCAGGTCAAGGCTGCGGTGGCCATGAGCATGCCACTGCACTCCAGCCTGGGCGATGGAGTGAGACTCCAACTCAAATATATATATATATATGATAGATGTTTAATATGCATAAATGTGATCATACTGGTGTGAATGTTTACATGTAGGTGATCAGTGGTTCTTGGGGCAATGAAGCCTTCATTCTTCCCTACCTTTTTTGCTTATTTTGTATTTTCAAAAATGACGTTATTTTTTGTATTATTGGTGGGGTGGTGGGCACAGTGGCCAGCAGTTTGACAGGCCAAGGCAAGAGGATTGCTTGAGCCCAGGAATCAAGAAAAGCCTGGGCAGCATAGTGAGACCTCGTCTCTACAAAAATAAAAAAATCCGCCAGGCGTAGGATCATCTGAGCCCAGAAGGTCAAGGCTGTGATGAGCTGTAATCATGCCACCGCACTTCAGCTTGGGTGACCGAGTGAGACTCTGACTCAAAAAAAAAGCAGGGGAGGGTGATGGATATTTGGCTTGCTTGTCTCACAGGAGACATTTGGAGCTGTACTGGGACTTGGCGGGAGGCAGTTTTGCCTTAGCAGGGGGAGGACGTACTGAGGACACTGTCCTCCAAGCCTGAATATGCTGAGGACACGGTCCTCCAAACCCAGCTGGGGGCATGAATACACCGCTACTCCAGATGTGACTCTGTCCTTGGGTCCAGCGAGTGTCCCAGGACGTCACCATCTGTCCTCCTTCCCTTGACCCAGTGGGAGGTCAGGCACCACAGGAGGGCCCCTCACGGTCTGCACGTCAGTTGCACGTTCACCGTCCCTGATCCTCTCCTCTCCACAGGTTCTGGAGCCATTGTTGCTGCCATTGTGGTGGTCGTCATCATCATCTTCACCGTGGTTCTGATCCTACTGAAGGTGTACAACAGGTATGGGAGGCCCTGGGCTTTGGGGTGGTCTGGTCTCTTCAGCGACCTCAGAACAAATGGGAACTAACATTTGAAGACCCTGTCGTGTGCTCAGCAGTATCCGTGAGCCATCAGCAGTAGCTTTAACCCCTGAAGTCTGTTCTGCTAGAGCAACTTCACAGTAACTGAATGTTTTTTTGTTTTGTTTTGTTTTGTGTTTTGTGTTTTTTATTTTGAGTCAGAGTCTCACTCTGTCACCCAGGCTGGAGTGCAGTGGCACCCTCGTGGCCACCTCAGCCTCAACCTCCTCGGCTCAGGCGATCCTTCCGCCTCAGTCTTCCAAGTAACTGGAACTACAGGCACAGGCTACCACCCCTAGCTAATTTTTTTTTATCAATATTTTTTATTATGATATTGTGGGGTACAGTTAAGGGTTAGGTATACAAATATGCTATAATATAATGTGATCATATAAAGAATAAATGTTATGTGTTATTTGACTTCTAGTTACAACTTTGTTAGAAGTTCTTTCTTTTCCAGGAAGAAATCAAAAGTAAAAATCTATAACTAAATCACATCATAGAAGACCCGGAAGTCATTTTAAAAAGATATCTTAGCTGGGCTCGGTGGCTCAGCCTGTAATCCCGCGCCTTTGGGAGGCTGAGGTGAGTGGATTGCCTGAGCCCACGGGTTCAAGACCTGCCTGGGCAACGAGATCTCATCTCTACAATAAATAAAAAAATCAGCCGGGCGTGGTAGCGCACGCCTGTAATTCCAGCTACTCGGAAGGCTGAGGCAGAAGGATCACTGGAGCCCAGCAGGTCGAGGCTGCGATGGCCAGGAGCGGCCACTGCACTCCAGTCTGGGCAACAGAGTGAGACTCCAACTC